AGAAAATATTTCAATTATTTCTCATTAATTTTGGTACGAGAATATCTGTTATAAATATTTTTGTTATGTTAAATTTTTTAGAGCACTCAATTTAAATTTTTCTTCCATAAAAATAAAAAAAACTTTACGCATAAGCATACATACAAACCCATATATACGAAAATGTGTGTATTTTTACATAACGATAAAGAAACTTATACGTACACTCTTTCTGTGAATTACTACTTAGTGTGAACTTATTAATTAATTCCGTACAAATACATGTATTGTATATCATACATATAAGAGATACATATGTATTAGCCTAGAATTAGTTTTAAATAAACAGTAAGTTAAACCAAAATATTGATTTTCTGTATTTACTTTGCTTTAAGTTGCTGGGATTGATATTAACCGCCTTAATAAATTTGTGGTAAGTATACATATTTTAGCAGTTTATGAGTAACTCAAAAGATGAATATCTGTCCAAGTTATATTCATCGATTTTAGACCAACCCTACGACCTAACCTATCTAATTTTGATACTTCATCTCGTTCCTTGAACTGCGCGAAGTTCCTAGATATTAAAGGCGAGTTCTTGATAATGCTGAGTAAAGCAGGTGTTTCAGCGATTCTATCATGCTTACTTCCTTGCACTTTCTGCATGTATCGTGGTAACTAATGCCCTTCCGACTCGTCTGTGTTATCAGTAGGTTGTGACCTGTCAATACACCAACAACAATCCTGCTGGCTAGCATGTAAGATGTCTCAACCAAATTTATTGGATATATATTTGGTATTATTAGTAGCGATAATGGAAGTCAGTCCAGGAATTACCCCACACCCCATATACTAAATTTAGTGACTATAAGAGGCGATTCCAAAATCGGAGTTTTTATTCAAATTCAGAAAATTTTCAGCAGCAATGTTAAAAAATATGATGGAAGGACCAACCCTTCCCTTCCTTCTGGATGCGTCACTGGTGTTGTATCAAATATTCCGATTAATTTTATCTGATATACATACATACATACATGTGTTGAATGGAAGTAAACATCTCCTACCAGTAAATAAAACGTTTAAATTTGTTGTTTTTGTTTTTCTTTATTATTTTTGATATGATCCAATTTTTACAATATTTCACTTTACGCTATTGAACTTCAAGAAAACTACGAATAGATTTACAAAACTTAATCTAAAAAAAATTTCTGTATACTTAGGTATGTAAGTATATGTATATGTAATTTCTATAAAAACAGCTTACAGACATTCGCTATATACACGTTTACATACTAAATATGTACTCGTATGTGGATATGTTTGCTAAATACTAGATACTCAATATTGCGTCCCCGGTATAATGCAGGTAGGGGTATATAAATATATATACAGATATATATATATATAAAATATACAATAACCATAATGAATTTATTATTAAATATCTTAATTATCCTAATGAAAAATGTTCAAACATTACGAAAATTTGTTGACTCCTATCAAAATGCTGAAATTGTCGCCTTTACATAACATATAGGTATATATGAATGTATACAATAAAGATATTTTAGATTTGTTGGCATGAGGGTATTCACAATACATGTTACAAAAATTTATTGTTTGGTGGATTGATAAAAAATTGTATGATTTAGTTTAATGTTGTCATTTTGTGGGTTGAAATTTAAAAATTTAGTTTTATATAGAAAAAATAAAAATAATGTTATTTACAAGTATGGAGCTAACATATTGTGAATTTAAAAAGCATTTATATGAAATTGCAAAATAATTTTTAGAGTTGCAATTTTGAATTTTAAGTAAAAGTGTCGACGTTTTAATTTTTTCTTATTCTGAAAACACTATATGGTATGCACAGATTAATAATTTTGAATATTAACTGTTATCTAATTAATTTTATGATTTTTTTGTGAGGGTTTAGGCGCTTTGTAGTTGTATTTATAAATTATTATTATAACTACGGAGGCGGATAAAAAATACAAATAATTAATATGGAAAAATAGTTGCATACTTTTGAGCGCTCATCAAAATGTTTTAATTCGGTAAGAATTTAATAAATTATTTTGAAGAA